TCGGGCGCGCCTCAGGTGTGCTGGCGGCGGTGCCCTGGCGCTGACCGGGCCCTGCCCGGGGGCAGGAAGCTCAAGGGCGGCGCGGGGGCTCCCTGGTGTCTCCCGAGCTGGGCTTTTGCTCTCCGCTGCCCCCGGGGTTTGGGTTCTGCTCTGCTCGATCTGGCCAGAAGTGCGGGCCGCTGGCCGGGGAAGCAGCGAGCGGCCCCTTAGGAGCCGGGGAGGATCACCTCCCGGCTCCGGGTTCCGTCTCCACAGGCGCTCTGCTCCTCCCCGGAGGCGGCTGCGTCCTCCTGGGGTCCCGAAACCGGCCGCGGGAGACCACCCGTGTGGTCGTGAGAGGCAGAGAAAGTTAGGCGGTGGTGCCGGGCGGAACACTCCCAGTGTCTTATTACCACATGCCTGCCCTCTCCAAAGCAGGGCATTGGACCTCTTGGCAGTGAACCCGGTTCAGTGCCTCGAAAGCATTATCCTCTTAACTTTTTGGCCGGCGGGGAGACCCCTTCCGGACTCCAGATTGAGTCTCTCTTCTTTGACACTAGGAGCAGCAATGCTATCACACTAGGGGATTGTTTACCCTGGTGGTGATGGATGAGTCGCTGTACTCATTAAGGCTGAATCAGTAAGTCCGGATCTGAAATAGTTTTGAAAGTTCTGAATTCAAGATACAATTATTATCAACCTTCCAGTTCTCTGGGCTGACAGTTATTTTGCTGCAGTGTGTTTTTAAAGATGAGTTGCAAGATCAGAGATCAGTGTTTTCAAGTCAACTTGCAATTTGTTTTAATACTTAAAAATCTCATTCAGTAATTTAGGGGAAAAATTTTTTGTTTTGAAGTGGTTTCTTTCCCTCAACACAAGTGTGACTGTTGTGATTTAATTTGGCTTTAAGGTATTCCTCTCCTCCTAATCAGTAGATATGGTTGATAGACGGTTAATGTTTGGTTGGAAACAAAGTAAACATTTCTCCAGGTCCTGTTGACTTATTAAGAGTATGGGAGTTGGGGAGAGAGGGAGGGTATGTAAAATACGAAAGACTTGATCCCACTATAATAAAGTGTAAGGCGACATAATACACAGATTATGAAAATCAATGTACAAGTATCTCTTCAAGATCCTGGTTTTAATTCTTTTGTGTGTATATCCAGCACTGGAATTGACGGATCATATGGTGATTCTATTTTTAATTTTTAGAGAAACCGCCATACTGTTTTCCCCAGCAGCTGTACTCTTTATATTGCTATGAACAGTGCACAGAGCTTCTGATTTCTCCACACGTTCGCCAGACACTTGCTTTTTGTTTGTTGTTGTTTATTGATAGTACATAATGAGATAATAGAAAAAATACATATTTATTTGGTTCATGGCATAGAGCTCCTGAAATCTGTAGTATTGCCTAAGTGCTAAGTGCATTGGGAACATCTTTTGTTCTAATATCTGACTTTTGACTCTGGTTCTTGATACACAGTTTCTGAATCCCTTGGAATTTCCTGGGTGATAGTATCTTTTGTTCCAATGAGATGACTTTTGGTGGGATCCTGCTTGGGGGCTGGTCACCAAAAGACCAAAGCATGATTAGAAGTTTGGAATTTTCCAGAGAGAAGAGAGAAGTGGGGAAATGGAGTTAATGTTTGATCAGTTCTATGTGATGAAGCTTCCATAAAATTCCCCAAAGTTAAGGGGTCACAGCACCTACAGGTAGCTGAACAGATGGAGGTGCTGGGAGAGTGGCGTGTGCCTCCCATACTCCTTGTCCTCTCTTTCTCTTCCATCCTACTGTATCTTTTGTCATTATATCCTTTTATAATGAACTGGCAAATAATAAGTTACTCTTTTCTTGAGTTTTCTGAACTGCCCTAGAAAATCAGTGGAATGAGAGGAGGGAGTCTGATGGGTCTGAAACACAGCCAACAAAATGGACTTGCAGTTGACATTTGAAGTTCATTGGGGAAGCAGTCTTATGGGACGGAATCTTAACCTGTGGTATCTGATTCTGTCTTCAGGTAGACAGTGTCAGAATTGAGTTAAACTCTAGGACACCCAGCCGGTGCTACAGAACTGCAGGGTGGTGGAAAAAAAGAGCCAGACTTGACAGCTGGCATCAGAAGTGTTGTGAGCCTGGTGGTAGTGTGAGTAAAGGGGAAATACCACAGGAACAGTGGGGATTTGCTTTTTACAGTAGCCATTCTTATGGGTGTAGAATTACAATTTTTTAATGATAGTAGACAGTGTTTTCACAAAGGAAGACTAGTAATAAAGCAGTAATCGTTCTCTCTGCCATTCAACAAAGTGTCAGTCTTTATTTGAAGTAAAAGATGGCAATTATCATTAGGGGAACTGAGAAAGTTAGAATTGGAAGCTGGCAGAATTAGAACTGGAAAGAACCTTTAGGGGTTTATGCAATTAAGTCCTTTTAGCTCTTTGTAGGACTTTATTAAAACTAATTTGATAGATGAGTCTACCCTACTTTTAAAGTCCTCTAGAGGATTTGCAGGAAACTTTCTCAGCAGCATGTTGGAGTGTTTAGAGATGTTAACTACCACGAATTTCTTACTGTGGATTTAACATTTAATGAAATAAGTGCTAGAGTTTGGTTGCACTGGAAATATGAATCTCTTTGTTTTTTATTTTATTATTTTTTTAAAGATTGATTTATTTATTCATACAGAACTGGGGTACAGGCCAGAGACGCGGAGGGCGAGAGGATTCACCAGAGACAGAGTGGGGAGCAGAACAGGCAGATCGACGAAGTACACTGCTGAGGGGAGCAGCGGGCGGGTCAGGAGAGGTCTGCCACGCCATGTGGACTCCTCCGGGGCAGGCGGGAATCGAACTCATGAGGAAGTGGCTTTAGCTTCTCAGTGCAGTGCTTTAACCCGCTGCGCCACCAGGGAGAGCCTGTTTTTTATTTTTAAAGCTCTTTTGTCAACAGCTCCTCCCTCCATTTTTAGCACTTAAGTTTTTTTTTTAAATAAGATTTTTGATTGGAATACATTTTACCTTCCTTAATTAGCTAGTGAGTATAAAAGGAAAAAATTGTCTTTGAAACAGTTTTGAACCTTTCTTTCCTTTAATAGTAGAAAGGTAGCAGCTTTCTAGCTGCCAGAAAAAATAAGATTTTATCTTAAGGAATTAGAGCACAAGTTATGTTCTTATTTAAAAGAAAAGATAAAGTAGAAAGGACACTGTTGATTATATTGCTTATACTTAGAAGGAGGCAAATGAATACTTATGAAGGGTAGTTTACTGAAGAACCATTAGTTTTTGTTTCCACCAGAAGAATCTGTGAAAAGGAGAAGTTAGCTATGAAACATTATTGATTAGCTAAGATGACTGGGATACCTACCTGGTCACTTTTCTCAGGACCTGAGACAGATGACTGAATAAAGATCTCTAGGCTTTGCAAAAATTATGTTGTAGCACAAGTTACAACTTGTGGAACTAGATATTTGTTTAAAATACTAGTTGTCCCAAGCGGAAGAACATTTCCATTTCTCCTGGCTAGATAAAGGTAGATTTCAAATTCATTTGAGGTACTCAGAAATCTTCTTTCATAAAAATTCTTGGAAATGAGACAAGTGTTTAATAAATAAGCCACTTTTATTCTTAAGATGCTATTTTAGAACTTGCATATTCAGCAAAGGCCAGCTTACCCACATTTTTCGCTTGGCCTTGATTTCCTAGGAACCTCCGTTGGTGCTCTGAGAAGATAGTTAATTGGTTGAGATTCAATTAGATTCAACTTTTGAAAGAAAGAAGCAGTGTTTATTGGCAGAATAGGCAATTGAAAGGGCTGGGTAGAGGCTGTGTTTGCTTTCTGAGTGGGTGTGCCTGCCTTGATTAAATACATGGTTTGTGGCTTCAAAAGTCAGTTGCCTTCTGAATAGCTTCTAAGACGGCTACTATAATTTATAATTTGTGACTGATTAAGCAAGTAAGTGCTTTGCTTTTCACCCATTTAAACTTAAAAAATTTATTTCATGTTTGATGTCTTTAAGACTACTTTTAAGATCCATTATGAAGGTTAAAGAGACTGCTTTTGCTTTTGCTTTAAAATAATTTTAGCTCCTAATTGTAGAGCTCATATGTATATAATCCACATTTTTGGAGGTTCTTTTTTTTTTTAATTTAAAGATTTATTTATTTATGCATATAGAACTGGGATACAGGTCAGAGGTGCAGGGGTGGTGAGAGCATTCGCCAGAGACAAGAGTGGGGAGCAGAACAGGCAGTTCGAAGAATTACACTGCTGAGGGGAGCAGCGGGCTGATCAGGAGAGGTCTGCCAGGACATGTGGGTCAGCTCCCTGGTTGGGATTGAACTCGTGCTGCAGTAGATTCAGAGAGCTTCATAATGCAGTGCTTTAACCGTTGCACCACCAGGGAGAGCCCTGGAGGTTCATTTTTTTAATGTGGTCTGTTATAAGTCAGTCTGCTGCTTTTTGACATTTTCTTTTTTAAGATTTATTTTTGCATAGAAGAGTTTGGTTGTAGGCCAGAGGTGCAGGGGACAAAAGAATTCACCAGAGAGAGTGGGGAGCAGAGCAGGCAGATTTACTGAAATACACTGCTTAGGGGAACAGAGAATGAGATAGGAGAGGCTGGGGTTGGGGGGCATATGTAGGTCAGCTCCCTGGAAGAGGATTGAACTCAGGCCTTCATGGTGGACTGCTGCTGTGAGAGCGCTGAGACATAACCCCTAGGACACCAGGGAAGCCCTGCTTTCTAATATTTTCTAAATGCAGTATAACATGAGCTGTACTGAGATTATCAGTGTGATCTACCTTTACTCCAAATACCACATATATGAGATTGGGAAGTAGTGAATTTTTTGTTATCTGCAAAG